TTTAAAAAGGAACTCAGAAAATATGTAGTACAAAGGTTTTCAAATATACCCTCAGCAGCGGAACTTTTATTCAATTGCAATGTCGCAGAGAAGCTGGTGCATAAAACAGACTGACGTGGACCCCAAGTTCAGCCCAAGGCCTTGCTCGGCTGGCCCTGGGAGCAGGTCATCCCTTGCTCAGCTCCAGGGCCAGGCCTGGGGAGGGAATAGAGTTATACCGGGGACAGTATAAAGTAGTATGTGCTTAATAAATAATCCTTGAGTGAATGAACAGGTGGTGTCAGCGAGCCTGTCCCGTGAATGATGACCACATAAGGGACACAGCAGAAGCTTCATGGCCAGTGACCACAGTCACACCCCCGGGCAATGGCAGCAGCCCCCTGGGAAAGGGACATGCTGAATAGGGAGTTTGGCTTGGGCGGCCTAATAGGAAGAGCCCCAAGGTGGAAGTGAAGAGGCCAGCGCTTGTCCTACTGTGTGAGACTGGCCTACTAGGAGTAGAGATGGGTTACACTGAGCCGTACGGAGCCTCGGCTTTCTCGTCTGTGAGACGGGTGCAGTTCTCCGTACTCACGTGGGATGGTGTGAGGATAAAGGAGGTCACAATGAGCAAGGGTTCTCCTTTTTACTGCAAAGGCCACCATTGTGTTACTGCTGTTTGCTGCCATCGAGGGGGCCCCCAGCGCATGGGAGCCTCGTGCGCGGTGCAATGCAATGCTCGCCGGGTCCTGGTGATTGGTTGTAGGTCAGACCATACCACCCACAGGGTTTTCAGAAGCAGATGGCCAGGCCTTGCTTCCTAGCGCACCTCCGTCTGGAACCTGTGGGAACCTGTTCCGCATCATAGCAACACACACACGGCGAGGTTGGCAGATAGGTGGTGCCTGCGCAGGAAGTACGTTGGCCAAACACCACACCCAGTCCTCCTGCGTGCAGAGCCACAGTTCTGCCCCTGATCACCCATGCCCTCAGGACCGTGGTGCAGATGGACAGTGGCCAACACCCAGCTGACACGAGGCCAGAGTGTTAGTAGAACACAGATCCTCTGGAACGGCACCCTCCCCGAATGAAACAGCTCAGCCGTAGAATATCCCACCAGGGCCAATGAAATTGTGTGCAGGCAACATGTCCGGCTTTGCTGGCGGAAGCAGATGTCTCAGCTGGGCCTGGTGGTCCTGACTTCCCCTTCTCTCCTTTGCAGGCCACGGACAACGATGTAGGCACCTTTGGGGAAGTCAACTACTTCTTCACCGACGACCCTGACAGGTAAGGCCCTGCCCCAGCCCCCCAACAGGGGCCCTCGGCCACCCCCAAGCTCTGGGGAACCTCAGCTCCCAAGGAGTGGGTTGTGCCCACTCCCTGATAAAGCACTGGCCAGGGAGTCAAGGCCCATGGGCAATGTTGTCCCTGGCTCTGGCCTCGATTGTGGCTCCATCGTAGTCAGGTCCCGTAAACTCTCCAGGGCATCGTGTCTCTGACCCTCAGAGGACAGCCTGTGACCCTGGGGGTGACGGCTGTGTCCCTAAAAGACTTGGACGTGCCGGTGATCGCACCCCATCGCCATCCTCACTGCCACCTCTTCTCCCAGACGCCTTTGCCTCAGTGCAGCGTTCTGCGGATGTGATCTCATGACATCCTCACAGCTAAGCACTCACGGGAGCGGCTCAGGGACCGCCAGCCGCCACCACATCCTGCCCCAGCTCCGGATGTGGACCCTGCTGCTCGGGGAGATGACGGCACTTGCCCAGAGCCCCCGACGCATGATGAGCACTGGCCAGGGCAAAGATGCCGAGCAAACGCTTTGGGCTACACGTCCTTCCTTCTGGCCTGAGTGGGCTCGCACTGCACTGCAGGCATGAGCTGGCCTGCTTGCCTCACCGCCTGACCCGGGTCAGCGTGGTTTGGAACATCTCACTCTTTTGACTTCCTGCCATCTTCAGCTCTTCTGAGCCACACAGGGAAGCCCTCCCCACCCCCACCCCCTTTTTATAAAAACATGGTCAAGGCCAAGTCAAATTCAGAAGCCGGCAGGTCTCTTACCAAAAGCGAACTGTCTGCTGCCCTCACTCGGGAGCACAGCAGGGTGAGTCAGTTAGCGTCTGTCAGGCTGGGTTACCGGCGGCCGCTGTCCTGGGAGGTGGTTGGATTTGCCTGGCTGTTCTCGGCCCTCTGTGGTGGGGGCACAGGGACGGGCCAGCCGTGGGATGAACGCACAAGGCACCCCCTCTCTGAGGGGACCTGCAGCTACACAGCCTGGTCATGATCGTCCTGGGTCTTCTCGTCATTTCCTTCTGCCGGGCTGAGACAGCAGCCCAGTGGCTGGGACAGCAGCCCAGACCCGAGCACATGTCAGCTGACAGCTCCAATAAGGCCCCAGGAGCGGCGTGCAGAGAAGGCAGTGAGAGAGACGGTGTCCGTGGACTGTGCTCTTCCCAGTAGTACATGCTAGCGCTTAACCAAGGCTCAGAAGAGCGGGGCATCAGGATCGGAGGAAGGCATGTGGATTAGTCTAGGTACTTTAGAGAAACAAATCCACAGCAACTCATGTATAAGAGAGAGTTTTATGTAAAGAAAACGTGCATCACGAAAACATCCCAACCCAATGCTGCCCAAGTCCAACATTAACCCATTAACCCAACACCAGTCCACAAAGTCCTCCACCTCACAAAACAGAGGCAATGATGCCGACTGTAGGAGGAAAGCTGAGTCAGTGAACAAATAAGCATCTCAGCACTAGCAAGGGTCTCCATACAGCTGCATCAGGATAGGTCCATGCGGCTTCTCCTTGGGGATGTCTTGTAGGAAGTCAATCTTGCAAGCTGAAGCAGGGAACTGCTAAGGCAGCTGCAGCCAGTGCAACCATCACAAAACAAGAGACCCGAGAACTAGAAAGGCGAGGCTTACCACCCATTTATCCCTCCGCCTTTCAACCAGACCCACATGTGATTATCGGCCAGGCTGGCACAATTAACTAACTCAGCATGTTAACAACCTGAAGTATGCAGATGACACCTCCTTGCTTGCTTGCTGAAAGCGAGCAGGACTTGAAGCCCTGGCTGATGAAGATCAAGAATTGCAACCTTCAGTGTGGATTACATCTCAATGTAAAGAAGACCAAAAACCTCACAACTGGACCAACAGATCACATCATGATAAGTGGAGAAAGGATTGAAGTTGTCAAGGATTTCATCTTGGTTGGATGCAGTCAATGCTCATGGAAGCAGTTGCCTCATAGGCCTGTGAAAGTTGGACACTGAATAAGGAAGACCATAGAAGAATGGCCGTATTAGAACTGTGGCGCTGGAAGAGAATACTGGAAGTACCAGGGACTGTCAAAAGAACAAACAAATCTGTCTCAGAAGAAGTTCGACCAGAATACTCCTTAGAGACAAGGATGGTGGGACTGTATCTGACCTACCTCAGACCTGTTGTCGGGAGAGGCCAGACCCTGGAGAAGAACGTCATGCTGTGTAAAGTAGAGGGGCAGCCAAAGAGAGGAAGACTGAACGAGGTTGATTGACAAGTAGGAACAATCATGAGGATGGCGCGGGACCGTGCCGTGTTTCCTTCTGGTGTGCCAGAGGGTCGTTGGGGTGGGTGGGAACCAAACTCGATGGCGCCTGACACCAACAAGCCCAAGGCTCTGGCTCCCTAGATGGAGCAGCTGGTTAACACCCTCGGCTGCTAACCAAAAGGTCGGAGGTTCAAGTTTACCCAGAGATGTGTCAAAAGAAAGCCCCGGCAAACCGCTCTGAAAACTGAGAGGCGCAGCTCTGCCGCGACACCTGCCACACATGGGGCTCCGTGAGTCGGAACTGACACACGGCCACTGTGGTGGTACTCCACACTCAGCCCTTGAGCAGAGGGCGGAGACAGACCCTGCTGTCGGGTTAGTGCTTTGCTATAAGGCCATCTGGGATAACAGACTGGCTACAACCACTCTTTGATATCTAAATAGCATCACGAGGCAGGGGCATGCGGTTGATTACAGGAGGAGGACATTCGCCTGAAGGTCTTCGGTGACTTAATCCAGCTCCCTGGCCACTCGTTCCCTCGTGTGATCCTGACCTGGCCCATTCCTCGCACTACCCCTTTTAGACACAACTGTCTCTCTTCCAGGAGAAAGATGGGGCTTTTTAGTCCTGTAGCGTTCCAGTCTCGGGACCCCACAGGGCCTATTCGGCCCTGTCCTATAGGGTCACTACGAGTCGGCATCCATTCCGCGGCAGTGAGTTTGGTTTGGGGTCTTGTCTGTTTTCCAAAACCAAACATTCTACCCCTGAGTCTATTCCAACTCGTAGAGACCCTGGAGAGGGTTTCTAGCCCACTGTACACCTTTATGGGAGCAGGCAGCTTCGTCTTTCTCCCTGGACCAGCCGATGGCTTGAACGGCTGACCTCGCCTGCTTCCTCCCTCTCTTCCTCTCTGACCGCCTTCGAGTTGATTCTGACTCACGGCCACCCTAGGACAGAGCAGAGCCGCCCCTGTGACTTTCCGAGGCTGTAACTCGGTGCAGGAGCAGAGAGCCTCAGCTTTCTCCCACAGAACGGCTGGAGGGCTTGAACTGCTGACTTTATGGTTAGCAGCCCGACGGCAGACTTCAGCTTCACTCTCTTCTCTCTGTTTGTCCTCTTGGGCAGGAGTGGGTTGGGAGATACATCGATGCCCTCTCACCCCACCCTCCCTGCCTACACAGGTTCTCCCTGGACAAGGACTCAGGGCTGATCATGCTGATCGCCAAACTAGACTACGAGCTGATCCAGCGCTTCACCTTGACCGTCATCGCCCGGGATGGGGGCGGCGAGGAGACCACTGGCCGGGTCCGGATCAATGTGCTGGATGTCAATGACAATGTGCCCACCTTCCAGAAGGATGCCTATGTAGGTGCCCTGCGTGAAAATGAGCCGTCTGTCACACAGCTGGTGCGGCTGCGGGTAAGAAGCCAGGGCGTCCCGCCACCTCACCATCCATCAGGGCCTCCCACCCCTGTGCCTCGCACCATGTCCCTGGTTACTGGGCAGTGCCACACGATGCCTGCCTCCACGTAAGTGTCAGGTCACGCCTTAGTCGGTGGATGCCCCCAACTCTCTCAGCACACCCTGGAAGTAGAGAACAGCTGTAGGTGGAGACCCCCTTCTAAGCCGTTAGTACCTGCTAGAATCGCGACTACTGCTGGGGAAGGGGACTCACAGGCCCTGGGACATAGCCCCATCGGTCAGTGGGCAGCCGGGCTGGAGATACTGGCACCCAGAGGTGCGGCCATTCGCAGCAGAGGCAGGACGAGAGCATGGGACTCTGTCCTCTGCGTGGTCTGCTGCTCCAGTGCCCTTTCACGAGACTAATGTCCACACCCCCGCCTGCCACTCCGACAGACAGGACCAGAGCCGTCACATAGAGCTTGTTTCTGAAGCCAATGAGGATAGAGGCGAGAGTGGAGGGGTGGGCATGGGGAGACACTGAAGACATGGCCGTGTGTCCACCCAGCATGCCATGGTGCTCATAGGACCCGGACTCCCCCTCCCCACCCTTCTCTGCTCCAGCCTCGCCCAGGGTCGTGGGGAGCCCTGAGACTTGCAAGGGTCTGAGCAATCTGGGGAAAGCTGAGTAATGTAGCCTCCCAGAAGACAGCCCTGACATCATTCCAAAGGACTGCCCCATCCTTACGTGCATGCATTTATTAGACCCCACTGTGCGTCAGTCCCCGTGCTGGGTGCTAGGTAAGCAATAGCAGTCAGCCAGTGGGAATATCTTCTCTCCTGGGGCGCACAGTCTAGCAGGGCTGGCAGAAGACAAACCCACCACTGCAGTCTGGTGCAAGGTTCAGAAGAGAGCCCCGGCTTTAGTCAAGGAAGAGTTCTGTAGGTTGGGGTATTTGAGCTGGACCAGGCATCAGTCATGCGAGGTACGGGGTGACCTATGCCTTCAGGATCAACCCCAGCCTTCCCCACTCTTCTCAGGCCCATTCCTTGCCCTCTAAGTTCCCCAGGCTACCCATGTGCACCAAGGAGCCCTGGGGGCCTAGCCGGCTAGACCTCAGGCTGCCTACCCACAGGTCAGCAGTTCAACACCACCAGCCAGCCTCTCCTCAGAAGAAGGATGAGGCTGTCTGCTACCCTAAAGAGTGACAGTCTCAGAGAC